AAATTTAATTAACTCAGTGTTAATGCCTTGGCAGAACCAGACCAAATGATTTTTTGGGCCTTATAAGGCCTGCGGGCTGTACGTTCCCCACTCCTGGGTTAGAGTGTTGGCCTGCGGATTGAAGGGTCAGAGGTTCAATTCCAATCAAGGGCACATACCTTGGTTTTAGGCTAGATACTCAGTCCCAGGTGGGGCGTGTACAGGAGGCAACCAATCGATGTGTCTCACATTGATGTTTCTCTCTCTCTGTCTCTCCCCTTCCCTTCCACTCTCTCTAAAAATCAATGGGAAAAAATTTCCTTGGGGGAGGATTAACAACAACAACAAAAAGATGATGAATCTGGCAGCACTGTTGCCTTGGGGAGAACAATTTATGTGCTGTGATACAGGCCATGGCCAAAATACAGTGAGGTCAATAGTGACAAAGTAAGTGGTAAGTAAAAGTTGCTGTGATGACTAGACAGCTGTTCCAGCTGCAAGGAGGTGGATGGAGATGTTGGCACCTTGAGGAGGAAGAGGACGCAAGGTCAGAGGAAGAGTGTATGAGTGACAGAGGAACAGAAGTTCTTTCTATGCTTTTGTGATATCCTGGGATTCTTGGCCACGTCTTAAGGGCTTATAGAAGGCTTTTATTTATTCTTCATGTGTTCTTTTCCTGGGTCAATGGCTTCGTATAAAATAATATTAGAAGTTTTCTGTCACTTTAAAAAGTTATACTGAGCCCTTCAGTCATGTGCCTTCAGAAGTTTGGTTACATAACATTGCTCTGAATTGGAATTCTGCAGCCTCATGAACTGGAGTCTCATTCTTTCCCTCCCCCACCTGGCACTTTATTTTCTGTGGGTCAGAGTTAGCTTCTTTCTAACCATTGTTGCGGAACTCCTTAAATATTTGGTCTCGCAGGTTCTAGAAGCTGGCAGGCCAGGCCGCTCCCTGCAGGTTGTGAGACCAAAGCCTTCCAGAAAAGGAGCCAGTAAAATCCGAAGCATGTTAACAGAGTGTAGCAGCTGCACAGTACAATGCCCCATGGTGCTGGGCTCCCAAATGCTGAGGCCAGCAGCTCCCAGCTACTGTGGCCCACAACCAGAAGGAGCCCTCATGCACCACATCATGGCTAATTCGTAATTGTGGCGATGACAACAGATTAAATCACTGGCTCTCAGCACTGAGGCCTGGGGTTTGTCAGGGTCACTCACTGTTCCCTTGCTTCTCTCAATTTTCCATAGTGAGAGAACAAATTGGAGTCCACTGATACAGCACAAATACTTGTCGGGAGCTCTGTGAGCTTTGTCTAGAAGTTGGTTTTCTTTAAAAAAAAATATTTTTACTGATTTCAGAGAGGAAGGGAGAGGGAGAGAGAGATAGAAACATCAAGGATGAGAGTCATTGATTGGCTGCCTCCTGCACGCCCCCTACTGGGGATTGAGCCTGCAACCCGGGCAGGTGCCCTTGACCAGAATCGAACCCGGGACCCTGCATTCTACAGGCTGATGCTCTATCCACTGAGCCAAACCAGCCAGGGCTGGAAGTTGGTTTTCTTAATAGCCCATACTGAATGTCTCTTTTTCTTCTCGCATCCTCTCAGTATGTATGTATGTATGTATTTATTTATTTATTTATACCCTGTGGTTTTAAAAAATGATTTAAGGCAGCTTGCCGATATACATATGGTGCAGTGGATTTTTAAAAATTAAGACATGGAGCAAAAGGAATATATGCATAAAAAATTAGGCACAGCTAGGATAAAGATTAGTTCACAAAGTTTAAACTACAAACAAGATCCTCTAGAGCAGTGGTTCTCAACCTTGGCTGCACATTAGAATCACCTGGGAATCTTTTTAAAATCCTGATTTCTGGGCTTCATCCTTCGGAAATTCTGTTTCTTTGTTATGGGGTGGGGCCACAACATTAGTAACAAAGAAACAGAATTTCCTGAGGATGAGGCCCAGAAATCAGGATTTTAAGAAGATTCCCAGGTGATTTTAATGTGCAGCCAAGGTTGAGAACCACTGCTCTAGAGGCAAGTCACAAATGTTTTTCTGAGCTTCCTGAGAGCCAAAGCAGAGAGGGAAATCTAAAAGGATGAAACTCACATGTCCTGTAAGGTACAAACCAACCATCAACTCAGGAGAAGAGTGAGTCCTTGCACTGTATGGACTTCCCTCATAAAAGAGACACGGAGTGATGAAAAGGACAGGGCTCTCATCAGCTTCCCCACAGTGAATAGTATAGCCATTTGGTTGTCTTCTTGCAGTGTCTCTAAGGGTAGGCTTGTGGGACAAGGCCTCCACTGGAGGCCTGTGCAGTCCATCATTGCTCAAAGAGTGCTGTCCTGAAGACCTTGCCTCTGGGTGATGCTCTGCTATAAAAAGTGCCAAGATCAAAAGAGTTAGGCAAGAACTGTACAATCCCAGCATATTGAAGGCTCTGCGAAGTCCTACAAAATGGTGATGGAAGGATACTTGACTTGGGTTGGTGAACACACTATACAATATACAAATGACGTATTGTAGAATTGTACCCCTGAAACCTGTGTAATTTTATTAACCAATCTCACCCCAATAAATTTAATAAAAAAGTCCTAAAATTAAGAAACTGGCCCAGCATTTACCAAACAGATTTAATCACAGGACCTTTTTTAAAAATTAGAAAACTTACTTGACACATTGGGAAACATTGATCTAAAATGGGCCAGCAGCCCTGGCCAGTTTGGCTCAGTGGATGGAGCGTCGGCCTGCGGACTGGGGGGTCCCGGGTTCTATTCCGGCCAAGGGCACATGCGCAGGTTGCAGGCTCGATCCCCAGTCAGGGGCGTGCAGGAGGCAGCCAATCAATGATTCTCTCTCATCATTGATGTTTCTATCTCTCTTTCCCTCTTCCTTTCTCTCTGAAATCAATAAAGAAATATATTTTAAAAAAATAAAATGGGCCAGCAAACACAGGATATCTACCTCATCTTGCCGCTGCCCAAGATGCTTCTCATCTGTAAGTTCCCTTAATAAACTTTTGATACACACACACACACACACACACACACACACACACACACACACACGGGGCAGCAAACTTTCTGCTGAGAGCCAGATAGATATAGTTTAAGCATATAGTCCTGTCATAACTACTCAACTCTGCCATTGTACTGAAAAACGGTGGCTCTGTTTCAATAGAGCTTCATTTATGAATACGGAAATTTGAATTTCATGTAATTTTCACATGTCATGCAATAATATTCTTCTATTTGATTTTTTCAACTACTTAAAAATGCAGAAACCATTCTTAGCTTTCTGGCCATTCAAAACAGGTGAGGCCCCATTTGGCCTGTGAACTGTAGTTTGCCGACCCTTGATCAAGAACTGGATGGTATGCTTTTCCAGCAAACTTTCCTGAGGACACTATTCCTCAGAGTTGTCTTAATTTAGACTTTTATGTTTCTGGTTTAAGAGCAGATTTTTTTAAAAGTAGAAAAGAATTGGTTTGAGAGCTTGCAGGTTAGTCTAAGATTTTTCTCAGAAACAATTTGTGGGTCCTCTCAAAGAAGACATTGACAGACTAAAAATTGAAGACTTATAGTTTTGTTCTGTTACATATGGCTGGGTCAATTTGAGGCTGGAAATGTTTTAGTGGGAATTATCATTCATTCATAGAAATAAAAGTCTCAAATCACCCAGAGACATTTAATTTTAAGAAAACATAGCTTCCTAGTCAATGCTCCAAGTAAACCAATGAACTGTGTCCCCTACCAAGCTAAGAGTATTCTTTTTTATTTTGACTAGAGGGATGTTCTTCCAGCTTCTTATAATGAAAGGACTAAAATATTCTCACCACCAAGTCTGACATTTCAATTTTAGTTCAACAACTATTTATTGATACTCAGTACATATAAAGCATATTGCTTATTTTTATGGGGCATACAAAAAGAACCAAGAAGCAGACATTTCCTCCTTTGCCTTGTGAATCAAGTTCAAGATTCTAACCAATTTAGAGCTCATTACTGTTGTGTCAGGATTAATTTCACCTTCCTGTCAGCATTCATTCATTCATTCATTCAACATACACTTGTGAGTTGCAGCCTATGTTCATAGTACTGAAACACAGCCTTTAGTGACCTGCTAAACACCCAATCTCCAGCCCAGTGCCTGGGGAGGATAGGGCAGAAGTTATGGAAAATTGAGGCCAGACTCTGCCTAGATCTTTAGCTGTTTGGTAGGAATGGCTGGGTTGGGTGAGGCATGTTATTTGAGAAACTCTAAAGCAAAAAGAGAGTGGCTGCGGGCTTCACAGAGTAAGAGTGGAATTGCATAGGGATAGTTTGTGAAGATAAATGGACAGAGGGTATACTTGATGATATGAGCTTGGGTGAGGTATACAATTGTTCATGGAAACAAACTGTGATTAGGGACATTTTCAAGTAGAATTGTATTACAGCTAACTGTATGGCCTAAAGTTTTTTTACAAAACTTATTCTTGGGTCCCCTGCCCCATATCATAACAAGTTAGGTGACTTATTTTTTAACACACCCCTTTTTTTGGAAGATACAAGCACTAAATTTTCCTCACATAGATCCTAGAAGGATAGGTTCCCATGAACCACTGAGGAAGAGGGAAGCAAAAGTAAGAACTGATGATTGGAGAGTTGTTTACCAGAGACTTGTCCCTGTTGTCAGACAGCTCTTCTTGGGCAGTCTCATTCATGGATGCTGCCTCACTTCCACCTTCTCACACCTATTCCTGTTTAGGGTCAAGAAGAAGTAGGTGCCAGTTCATAGAGAGGAAGAAAAAGACACAGAGACCATATGGAGCCTTGCTGTCTCCCCCCATTGTCTCTCCCCAGTCTCACATTTTACTGAAGACTCCTCCTCAAAGAGACATTATAGGAGTTACTCTTCACTGTGCCTACCATTTGTACATTTTCAAAATAACTGTTCTTTAAAGCTATACTACAGTGGGGTAAAGTTTCTGTTATTTGCGGCATCACTAATTATATCTTCAATCTTTCCTAGAAAAGACTGTATCTTCACCATTGACCCATCAACTGCCCGAGACCTTGATGATGCCCTCTCCTGCAAGCTACTTGCTGACGGTAGGATAGAAATGTCTCTACCATTCTGGGTAGCAGACAGGGTGCATACCTTTGTGGTCAGCCTGGCTGCTGTGTATTCACCAGGCAGCGCAATGTTCAGGCTGAGGTTTGCCTTGTTCCTGAACTTGCCATAGGCTTCTGAGGCTACACAAATATGTGACCTAAGGATTGTGTTCCTGTGGTGACTTTGGTGAGGGTGAGAATAAGAAATGTCCTCTCTACTGGATCCTTCTTGGGCCTCAGAAGAGGCAGCAGAGAGGGCAGAATAGCTAATTCCAGGCCTTGGCCTTCAGGAAGTTCCAGTTTGGGTGGGATGTGTTAAAAAAAGAAATCCCTGAAGGCTCTGCTTGGGAGAAGCATAGGCCTCTTTACTTGAATTGAACAACAGATGGGGTGAGTCAAGGGGTGCTCTCCAAAGGCATGCTCAGCAATGGTTGTTAGGAACACCTGCCCTGAGGAATGTCCCTCAAGTGAACTGGAGGAGCCTGCACTGTTCCCAGTAGGTCTTCATCTGTTCAGCAAATTGCAAAAGGCAGCTGCTAGGGACTCTTTCAACAATCTTTTGGGATGGAGCTAAGCAGGAAAAGGTGGGATTTGAGGCAGCAGCCTTTGAAAACTACAACAGGGGGAAAGGGAAAGTGGGGGTGGTGGTGAGAAGAGCAAACTCTACCAATCCCCATTTTAATGTCTCCCCAGGATGTACTGCTTAAGTCTTAGCTACTTCTTGCCCCTCTCTAGGATAGTGTCTGGGTGCCTGCTTTGACTTCAGTCGTTCTTGGATATGGTATTGGTAGTAACATGGCCTGGGGCGGCTTGCATATGATGGATGTCCACCCTGGGTTTCAATCTGCAGCAAATTGTTGATGGCCCAGTGGCTTAGTCCTATAAAACATTGCAAAGGTATTCACATATTCCACTGGGGCAAAACTGCATAGGTTCAACGTCTGATCTCTACTATACTAGGCAGTGAAGCATAGTAGAGAGAACCCAGAGAGACAGAAAGCATCATTGCCTAAAAGTGCTTTTATCTTCTTTTAATGGGCGTCCTCCTTGAAACTGTGGGCAAAATAGCTCAGTATTTTCAACTAGAGAAATTTGAAAGGAAGATAAAGCATAAAGAGAGGGAAGTCCCCATGGAAATTTTTGAGGAATTATGTATTTTTAAAATCCAAAATTTGAACAGCCTACTTAAAAAAGCAAATACTGGGTTGGTTTCTTATATCCTGAGCCATCTGTGCATATAAAGGCTTGGGCATAGATCGCCCTCAGCATGAGCTCTACTCCCCTGAACCCCAGTGTGAAAAGTGCCCCTGGGCAGAAAGCCAGGTGACAGTGGACCACACTTCCTGTATTGCCCTTCTCCCCAGGTTCACAGCCCTGCTCTGTTTGTAATCAAATGCTTGAAAACAGCTGCTTCATTTATTTTGTCCACTTTTATAGTGTTAATGGCAGGAGGATAGGTCTGATATCTGTTACTCCATCTCGGCTGGCCCCAATGAATTTGCCTTGTAGGGACAGACACCAGGGAGCTGGCACGTGTCCTGCCCCACTCACTCCACCCTAGTTTTGTGTGTACAGGGTCACTGCAGAGGTTTCACGTAGGGTGATGGTAACAGATAGGCAAGAAAGGTAGATTGGGGACAGATTGTACATTTTTTAAAAGTTTCAACTAGAGAATATGCTTTGTCAGTCAAAAAAATTGTTTTCAATCTGTGAGTCAGGGAGAGCAGTGAAAGTGAGGGAAACAATTTAGCAGCACAAGATAAAGGATAGGAGAGGAAGTAGAGGCTTAGAAATGAGTCGGAAAAACATTGTAATTTAGGAATATAAGTAGGTAATAAGGAACTGGACTAGAGATTGTGACAATATTTATGGGGGTGGGGAGGACAGATGTGAGAAAGGGGTAACAGCAGAAGAATCAATGGAAATGGATGTTAGAATTCAGGGAGAGTAGTTCCAGACGGGGCAAAAGTTTCAACATGGATGATGAGGGGATGAAATCCATAAGTTAGAAACTGTAAGACAGGAGGTCAGGCTGGTTTTGGAGAGAGTATGTCCACATGGAGTTGTCTGTCTGATGATATGCATTTATATAAGCTGCTGCAAATCCTTTTCAAAGGAGGTGGGGTGCAAATAAGCTACATACATGTGGTCCATTAACTACATCCGGAGAGCCCTGAAGAAAAGTAGACAGTGCACCAAATGCAAACAGTGATTTTATTGGGATGATGGGATCATAAGTGATTTTTCTCTTTTCTCTAGTTTCCAAATTTTTATAATGTGGTAATAATAGTTTTATAATGAAAAAAATTTTGTAATAAAAAAATATTATGAGGTGCCAGAAATCACAGGGCTGCCGAGTAGCGCACTGCACCAGGTGACTAGATACCTTCCATCTGCTTAGTTATTCTTGCATTCCAGAGGGGTAATTAACATCTGGTCATTTGGCAGAGCAGCAGAAAAAGGACATGGAAAAGGAGTCAGGGAAGAATCTGAAAAGGCCTCAGTTGGTCAGTCAAGTGTTTTTATGGTGGCACTTCTACAGTTGGCCTTTGTGACAGCAGTTTCTGCCAAAGCCATTTATCCAGGGAACTGAAAAGTAAAAGTCAGTTCCAGTTTGGATGGGGGTGAGTTTGGCTAGGTCCAGGTTCCGTTAGTTAACAATTCAGTCAATTCTTGCTTAGAGGAAAAAATGTTTAATGTTTCAAAGAGCAAATAATGTTTTCTGGCCATATTTACATCATCTATAACCATTTTATTTATTTTTTATTGAATTTATTGGGGTGACATTGGTTAATAAAAATATATAGGTTTCATATATATCGGGATATAATTCTATATATAACCATTTTTATTTAAAGAAAATAGAAAGGTCAAACTTTTCTTTGTTCCCATTGAAATCATCTGAATGACTGTTCTGTGAAAATAAAACATGCAGACAGATGTAGCTTATTTAGTTCTCACTCTCCCTTTCTACAGAGTTCAGATATAACCCCAGGACTTGTTACCAATATCTCCTATAGGTAGGAGACTGAAACTATACAGTCTGAAGATAAATTCTGCAGAAACACAGTGACACCTGTTCTCTAGTAGGTCCTGATTAGGTTGGAAGGCTGAGGGAGGTGCCCCTACCCTTGAATCTCAGCTTTGGAAGGGATCCTACATCTAGCTGGTAATGCTCCACCTCGTGTAGCCTATAAGCACACGAGTGGAACATTCCCATGACAGTACCCAGGCTGCTACCTTGAACACAGAGTCTTTCACTTTTGCTCAAGAAAATAATAATGCAAGTGAATAAGAGTGGTGTTATATTGAGAACCCCGAATCTAAAGACAGTAAATCACACACTTCAGTTTTATTGCTGTAACAGATCAATTGCAACACACCTCACAGTTGACCTCACCAGTTGTCACACCATCTTCTGGTTTTCAGACCTCTACAGCATCACTTACTGAATTACAGATTGCATTTAACACTCTACCTTATAGGCGGCCCCTTGGCCTGAAGATTACATGACTATTAGGAACTCCTTCCCCTTAATGACCTGAAATAATGCTATCTCCCTGTAACTTTCCACCCACTAGTCCCATTTACGCCCCTTGCAGCCTACACAAGTTTTGTCTGTCATGTGACAACCCTTCAGATACTAGATAACCTACATATTCTTCCATGTCCTGTAGCTTTTGCAGTTTGAGCCCATTTCCTGTGTCATAGTTTCTTCTGCCTGTATGGGACCTGAGGTACATAGCTGTCTATATCCAGACTTCTCCTCCCTGGTGGCCAGGGCATGGTGACTCTCTTGTTACTGGATGAGATCTGAGTCTGGTGTAATAGCCACCCATTCTGTTCAATTAAATAAGCATTATTGCTGTGTTCTAATCTCTGAGCGAGGAAGTTGTTAGCCAGACAGGCAAGGACCTTTATTCAGTTTTTAGCTGTTCAGGCTTCCAATAGACCCCACAAAAAATTGACGTTCACCATTTCTCTATCATCTTGTTTCTCTAATGCTTTCTTCTCTAATGCTCTGCCACTAAGCATGTCAGGATTATCCTAGCCAGGCCTTCGATGCGAAGGATTGGAGCTAAGGAGAGGGGGAAATGAGGAATGACTGCTAATGGGTTTAGGGTTTCTTTTGGAGGTGATGAAATGTTCTGGAAGTAGGGTGTTGATGGTTGCACAACTTTGTGAATATACTGAAAACCACTGGAGAGGGGGAGAAAGGAATGTGTGGATGAATGAATAAGAATAAACAAACAAATCCTCTCATCCTTGAGGCTTTCTGGAAATTGGAATTTACACCTTAGCCACAGTTTAGCAGAAGTCTTGATGAAATGCCTGGGCTAGATACCCGTAGTCACATCCCTCTTCTCTGTCTCTCCTCCTTGCTGCTTTAATCTCTGAATCAATGAGCACACCCCTCTGTTCAGCCACCTGCTCATATTTCGCTTACCTTCAGAGTGCAGCCATCCTACTCAGAAGAAAGAAGGATATGTCTTACTGTCCAGGTAAAAGGACATCATCTAGCTCAAGGGACCTCAGAAATGCAACATACCTACTGTTCTCTAGGGGCGTCAGTCTGTTTTTTTGTTTGTTTTTTTGTTTTTGTTTTTTTTCTGTTGCCTCTCTAGCTTTCCCTTCCCTGAGGAGCATGGACTAGGGAACTCTGTCTCAGGGAGCCCTTTGGTAAGGGAACATGAATGAGAGATTAGAAGCAAAGCCTGTAAGAATTCCTAAACTCTGTCACTTCCCCACATGTTTATATTTGTCACCTGATGAGAGTTTCTTGTATGACTGATCCCCTTTGCAGGCAGAGGGGAAGTTGGAGCTGGAGAGGCTTTTCCTTTGTTTTTAAGATGGAAGTGATTTTGACCTGTTTCTATATTAAGAGATTGGAGACATTGGAGAAGGAGACATTGAAATAATAGGAATGAAAGGAGTTGATTATTTTTGTAAGGTCTTGAAGAAGAAGCTGGGAGTGAATTCAGAGTGTAAATGGAAAA